TCGTGGCATCTGTTGACATTTCTGCATCGCTCCAGTCAGTGAGACTGGGACCCCGTGATGCCCATGAGTCAGTTTCACCCTTTTCTGTTGTATTTAAACTGGGTCAAATCGAATTATCTGCATCTAGTTCATTCTATCCAACATTCCAACTTGCAAATGGTACACTCTACACCGAGTATACTCATTAATCCAACATTTTCTCTATTTATCACTTTTCAGAATAATTTTTTATAACCATGTATCACCACAGCTGTGATCAGGTTTACTCAGCCAACACTCACATTACAGACTCCTGCTCAAATCAAAGATTCCAGCTAACATAATGAAAAAAACTGTCTTAAGTATAAAGCTGAGCTTTGTGCCAAGCAGAATCCTCTGATAGTCTCACATAAACAGAGCAAAGCACCTTTAATATCAGCCAAAGCCACATCTGCATGCAGCAAGACTTCAGCTCTCATTATACTGCATTTGTGAAATTCTATTTGAAACTAGCAGAAAAGATGCACTAGAAAATGTACTATAATGTATATATCTAACACATTTCGAAAGAGGATTTTTCTGTGTTTTTCTCCAACTAGCTGGCTCCCCTCAGTTATCAATTATATAGATATATTGATCCACAAGCAAGCTACAGATTCTTCAATATTAAAGAATTTCAGACTTCATCGTTTTTTTTTGTTGCAGAATTTCTTTATCATAATTATTTCTACTTTGATTGATACCTTCCCCCCGCCTCTCTATACCATTGGAGGTCTACTTCATCACTGGAGGAAAACAATTTCATCCACTGGCTCCACCTCATTCTCCATCCGACTGTAGAGAGAGTGTGTAGGGGGGCAACAAGCTTTATATTCCTTTCTGCAAACTGCAAGTCAACAGACTAAAGCGCATCTCTTCAATCTGTGGGAAAAGGGAGGAGTTGGGTTCTGGGCAGCTACTGCACAAAGGGAGAAACCACCGAAATCTGCAAGTATTGTCTGGCACTGGAGAGGGGAGATGGAGGAGTGAAAGATCTGAGCAACAGGGGTAAGCCTCTCCGGATTTTCAAAGTGATTGCCTCAGGGAGTGAAGTCGTCGCTTACATCTGCAATTATCACGTCCATTTATCTATTGATGAAGAACTGGTGATGGTTACGCATGATGTTTTTTGTTAATGGAGTGATTCAGCTGTTTTTCTCATAAAGGAATCATTATGTAAATCAATTTTACCTCCCCCAAGGAGCTCAGTTCCTTTGTTTATATCTTCACGACAAAGAATTTTTAAGCCTGAGCAGTGGGGCAGCTGCACATCAGGACTCCAGTCGCTTTTTACCTGGAATTTGTGATACATAAATCTGGAGATGGTTGAGGAGACAGCCACTGTGTGTAAATTGGGGATGTCTAGGGTGGGCTACTAAGAAACAGCATTTGGTAAAGAAGCGCCTTCCTTGACACAAGCAATTATGGATGAAGCACCCACATCCGAATCCGTCGCCCTGGGGCCACACACACAAAATGATGCCCACGAGACCCCTCTCCAAAACACAGAGTCCAGCTCGCTTAAACCAACATGGAAAGAGATCACGGTGGATTTCATAATGAGGACCAAGATCCATGGTTTAAAGTTTGTCTTCTCTCCGGACAAGTCGAAACCACAGCAAGCCATCTGGGTCATGGCCTTCTTCGTTTGTGTCGGACTCCTCATCACCTGGTCCGGGAATCGAATCCTGTACCTGATGTCCTATCCTGCTATCACAAAGATCTACATGGTGTGGGCTCACAACATGTCCTTCCCAGCGGTTACCTTCTGCAATAAAAATGTGTTCCGTGTGTCCACTTTGACCAAGGATGACCTGTATCACAGCGGCTACTGGATGGACCTCATGTATTCTAATCACACAGTGATGGAGAGGAGCATGTCCATCCTTAAAGACAGCCACAAGCAGGGTCTCCTCAGCCTGCTTGACTTCAACAACTACACTCCACCCCCTGATTATCGCATCAACACCACCGAGATGATGGGACGCCTCGGCCACCAGCTGGAGGACATGCTGCTGGTGTGCAGGTTCCGTGGGGAAACCTGCACCTACAAAAACTTCAGCACTGTATGTACAGAAAGAAAGGTGTTGTTTGTCAGGTGTGGATTTGAATGTTGTTTACAAGGTGTATTAATAATTCATGTAAGCATTTGACAATGCACCCCCCTGCAAGCATTAAGGTGTGGATGTTTCAAAGCTGCAAACAAGCCTGTCCTGGTTTTACCTCTCAGGCATGACAGCTTTTTCCTTATTAAACTTGATGTCTTCAAAAAGTCACTCAAGGAAACAAATACAATGTTACCTTCATGCTGTAGTGGAAAATCAATGTCATGTCATCATCAATGACTTCAGTGTCTACCTTACAGTTTTTGGAAGATTCTCATTCGGTTGTATTAACCCGGCCGAGTTCTTTAGTTTCCAGTTAACCTTTGACATCTTTGTGCTTTATAACCTGTGAGAACAGTATTAAAGAAGACACTTTTGCGAATTAATAATTCAGACATTGTAAATCTGTTCAAATAAAAATATTAGCTGCTCTAATTAAACATCTTGAGGGCATGTGGAGTATGTGGTATTGTTTCAAGAATGCGGCTGAGTTTCTCATTTAAAACACCAGATGTCTATTACACCCATTCGTTTTTGAGTTAGCACTGAATGCTGCACGGAGGAAGTGAATGACGTTTGGTGATATTTCAACACAAACTGGCAACTTATAACGTCATCAGGAAATGTTTGAAAGGCTCATTGTAGAATGTATGCATGCAGAGTGACTAATTTCTACAGCACTGAGAACAATTTTAATCTGGGAAGATGCTTGCAGATTTAAAACTCTAACCTGTCACTTGCATCACAATTAACCACTTGCCTTTGTAGATCTGAGCATCTAGATACCAGCCAGAAAAATCAACCATGAAACTGTAACTTCGGCTTGACTAGAGACAGCTTCCCTTTTAGTGTGCTTACATCTTAAGCAGGAGCGCCTGTTTTATTTAAAATAGTAATTCTTTGCACATGACTTATTGTATGGAAACCTCATTATATAGCCAGCAGGAGTAGGAGGACGAAGCGCCGTCTTATCTGTCTGAGGTGCACCTGAGTCTCCCTGATTCTGGACATGGGCCACTGATTCTGATCTCTTGAGATCAGCTTTACCATGCTGGTTGAGTTTTTGCCAATAGCCCTCTTACTGTGATTTCACCAGACTGGGAAGACTCAGAAAATTGACATCCCTTTCCTTTCAAGCATTTCTTGTTGTTAAGAAAGGCAGAAAAACATCACCTCAGCAGCCACAATCTATTGTCAGACTACAGTGTGCTGTATGACCTATTTCTGTTTGCCAAGTAAGGATATTTGGATAACCATGGCCATTAAAATAGGAAGTATGGCTCAATGCAGCAATTTTTTTTTTTAACTTTTAAAGTATGGGGTTTAATATGGAAGCAAATAAAAGTTTTATTTTAATTTTATGAGCAACTGAATAGCTAATTCTGAAAATCAGCCAATAATAATAGAAATTACCACAGATTTTATTGCGTTGAAAGATTTAACTTTGAAAACCATTTATCTGAATGTAGGTGGTTAGAAGTCCAGGAGACAAATTGAGCATTTTGGCTTAACTCGATTCTTGATATAAGAAAATTACCAGTTGACTTCAAGCAACTTTAGTATAGTTCTTTTAAATATATTAATTTATTTTATTTTTATTGGACACTTGAATTTTCTTTGTGAAGCCTAGAAAATTATTGAAAATTTTATTACAAATTTTATATAAGTTTATGAAATTGCACAACTTCACATTACCTGCTGGAAATTTCACAGAAGAGTAAGCGAACCATATAAATTTAGATTGGATGTTTTGGAAAGTAAAGTGAACCATTTCTGTGCAATAGATTCACTGGTATAACATTTTCAGTAGTGTTTACATTTCACAATCAGCTATTCAGTTTCTTATAATGTTCAAATTATTTTGGCCTTTCTTTGCTTCCATAGTTTTATGATGATTTATGGTTTGCAGTACAGCCACGTCTCTTTCCCATTCATCCCACTCTATAGGTGTTTGATGTGAACATAAACAAGCACATATTGTTGCATATGTAGCCTATTTGTGATAAACATGTGTGACTGTGTAAGCCATATGTAGGTGTTGTCACAAATGGTATAAAAACAATATGACATATGCTTCTAGCCATTCAACGCTGCATGTTTTTATATTGTGTTGAAATGCATGAGGAATAGATATTCTAGTTCCTCAGAGTGTTGCAAAACCAATCAATTCTAGTCTTATCTCAAATTGATAGCCGTTTTCAGAATGTTAAGCTTTCTTAGTCTTTACTCACATTTGTTGTCATGATACATATTTATTTTAGTTTTTTGGCAGATGATGGAGAATTTCCCAATCCCAGGGTAATCCATAAACTGGCTGAGGCAAAAGCTGAAAATAAATAACTCAATCCAACTGGATTAATTAAATCAGGAAGATATTTGGTGTGAGCAAACCTACTGTAGTAATTGCACATCAAACGTTAAGTACCGCTGAGCTTTATTGGCACAGGTTAAGTCTCTTAAGAAGTTGTAAGTCAAGACACACAAATGTCTCTTACAAACCCAATTTTGAGTTTGTTTGTGAGAGCTTCCAACTCAGATGTTTCTTATTTAGTGATGGCAAAATAGTACATTCACTCTAAGTTACTCAGGGGAAATTTGGAGTGAAATTGGGTAAAGATTGATAGCTACTGCTGCTGCTGCTGAGAAACACTCATTAATTCTTCAAATCAGAGCCAGGTGCCTGTTTAAAGCCGGAACTGCTTCCTCTGATAATCACAAACCATCTGCAATGATTAGCTGTCCTGCACAATTACAGGCTGACATGTAATACATCTCGAACAGGTGCAGAATCTACCACAGCACAATGGAAAGGATTTGACTTTTAATTTACTCTCCTGATTTTTCTGTGCTCTTTGTTTATTTTGTTTTTTTTTACAGATTTACACACGCTACGGAAAATGCTACACATTCAACTCGGGACTAGATGGCAACCCTTTGTTGACAACATTAAAAGGTGGCACTGGGAACGGCTTGGAGATCATGTTGGATATACAACAGGATGAATACCTGCCTGTTTGGGGAGAGACAGGTCAGTGCAGCTTTTGACATTTACAGTAACATTTTAACTTATGTTATATATATATATATATATATATAACCCTAAAAATCGCTCCATCTTGTTTGGTTACCCTGGAAATACCAACTACCCAAACCCATCTTTCGTCATTTTTATGTAGATGTATAGGCCTAGAGATAGATAACAAAATTCCAAGATTTACCCAGGTCCTCTCATTTACTTTACTGCTATATGTCTGCAGAATTTACACGACACAGAAGTGATGTATTAGGATTTTTAATAGCACATTATCTTGATATGTTTCTCCAGGTCTACAACTAATAAATTGCATCCATTGAACTATTGTCTTCAATTTCTGGCAGACAACAACACACTGTAATGTACATTCATAGAGTATACAGCATGTGATAAATCTTTGGTTATAAATCTGTTTAATACCGGTCCACCACACTAACACATGAGCATCTCTCTGATATTAGCTTTCAACATGGGGTTCAGGGGCACTCAGTGCCTGAGCCAAAAAGCGGGTTTCCATAGGCGACCTTACTTGTTGTTACATTTCTGGCGTGCTGTATCCACAGATGAGACCTCCTATGAAGCAGGCATCAAGGTTCAGATCCACAGCCAGGACGAGCCGCCCTTCATTGACCAACTGGGATTTGGTGTGGCCCCTGGTTTTCAAACTTTTGTGTCATGTCAGCAGCAACTGGTACCTAATATTCAGCCTCCTCCCCTCCAACCTCGACCTTTTTCGCTCCGCTTCATTCTGTGTTTGTCCCCAAATCTTTGCCATTGCCCATTAGCTCTGTGTCAGAGACCCTGGGGCAAAATCAGATCTTTGATTCAGCTTCTGAGGGAAAGGTGTAGTTTAGGTCTTATTCAAACACCCAGTTATTCTGGGTACATGAAACAGAGGAATTATAGCAGCCAAGAAAAATTGAAAGAGCTGGGCCAATAATTATTGGATGCAAGCATACAAGCATACTGTGCTTATCTGAGACAAAAAAAACAGACAACACAGCATGCAGAAATATCTGGCAGCTCAGAGTGTTTCACTTTTCATATTGAGTCGTCACTACTTGGGGAAAATGTGAATACAGCTTATTTGAATGCTGTGAAAGTTGTCTCTGGTGGCATATTCATGGAGAAGGCAGAGAAAAACTGTGACGAAGACTCAGAATCCACACGGTTAGAAGGCTTTATAGAACATTAACTCTGAATTTCTTATAATTAACACGAAATTGTTCAAGTAATAGTAAACATTATGAATGGTTTTTCTCTCTAAAATTACTGCTAAAAGGATCTGTTGGCAGCAGAATTTAGCCAAAATCTGATTGCTTTAAAGACTCTATACTATAAATAACTGACCTCTGGAGACTCCCTCTCAAGACTATCTTGAGGGAAAGATTAAAATGACCATCATGTTTTTGATGTTAAATTGAACTATTAAAAGAAGCCTGTCACACCTGTCATCATATTAGGTTATTTCCAAATTCCTCTAACACTTACATATGCATCATTAGATGACAAAGATGACCCACAGCTATTTTGAAGAATTTTTTTTTTTTTAAATGTACCATGATTTAGAGACACACAATATCAAGTGAGGCAGAAAGGCCTGTGGTAGGTTTGTTGACTGTAGAAATTATTTTCCTAGTCCTCAGCTATCCCTTCACTGCCGTCAGTGATGGATGAAAAGTGGCCGAATTGATCGGGATAGCCTGTGTGCAATGTCATAACACTGAGCTCACATGGATTTCCTATCCAAATTTAATGAAACTGTACAGCGATTGTGTGATGTTGCCAAGACAGCAAAATTCAAATTGTGTCTCTTTTGTCTACACAAGAATAGCACACAAGCCAAACACCAGTCATTTGATTTCCAAACAGAAACAGTGACAGAATAGGGAACTATCCTCTGACAAACAGAAAAACTGTTAAGTCACAAGAAAATGGTGCCCCTGCCACAAAGGATTTTAGGTTTTTGCAATGATTACCTTTGAGATCAAGTGTATTTTTGTATTGTATTGCGGGCTCATTAAAATTTCTGCCACATAATGAGTCCTTGTGAAGTCTTGAAGCAATGAATACACCAGCAGTTAATCAAATTCATTACTTGGGCAGTTCATTAGGCTTAATTTAAATGATTTTGCTCCTAAAGTTAATGGTCTTGGTTAGTTCATGAGCATGAGATAAATGATCACATAAAAAGCCTTGTTTTAGCAGAATAACATGGGATGACTGAGGCAGAGTTTTGTCTCCTAAAACAGACACTTGGACACCACAAAGATGACAAATTGTATTTGGGGGAAGCAGTTTGGAAACATGTAAAATCTCTGTCTCACTCTCTTTCTCTGTAAGTGTTGTAAAATGCTCCAAGTGTGCCATCATTCAGCCATCTCTGAGAAGTGAATCCGATGTATTAATCACAATCACAAAGTTGCCTCCTGAAAGCCAAAGTGCACGGATTGCCATTTATAATCATGACACGCGTGCTCATGCCAGTGACAGCTAAAAGACGTGTTTACGACCTAAAAGATGTGCTGAATTAATTAGACTTCATTCATAGTCATTAAAGTCTGGCCAGCATTAATTTCAGTCAGTCAGCCAACCAGGACAGTGACACTGCTCTCAGTGTGATAATAGACAGTTGGATAAAGCACTTATGATTTCATTACTATTCATTTGTAAAGCTTCTGTCAGAGGAATTACATTTTTAATAGGAGGCTATGACTTGAAGACCAGACCACCAAATTTTGGAATAGAATTATGTAATGGTTAAAACTGAACTGTGTCTTCCTTCAAGCTTGAGTGGATGTAAGGAGAGAATGGCTGAATGATAACCCACCAGTACACCAGTGCAGCAAACACTGCTGGGAGTTGTTCCTGTGTTGTTGTTATACAGACAACAGGCTGTATGTGTCCAAAGGGGTTGACCACTGTCTGTCCCTTGCCTTGCTGTTGCTCCTCTTATTATTTTGATAATGATGTGGGCTGTGTTCACTCACCCCTCGCCCTAGATGAGACGTCCTATGAGGCCGGCATAAAGGTACAGCTTCACAGTCAGTCAGAGCCTCCTTTCCTCCATGAGCTGGGCTTCGGGGTCGCCCCTGGCTTCCAAACATTTGTTTGCACCCAAGAGCAGAGGGTAGCGTATGACTGTCTGGGCTTGCTGCATGCCACAAATACTGTAATGTGAAATAGCTACACACCCATCATCAAGTTCCACACTTTCATCTGCTGGTCCCCCCCTCCCACCCCCATGAGAAATGGATCCATCTGTACCCCCACTGTGCATCTGAAGCAACGACATGCAACAACATCTGCAGTCCGTCCTCATTGTTTTCTCTGTTAAATAGTTATCAGTAAGGAGCAGCTGATGTGTTTCATTCCAGCTTTAAGCCATTCATTCAAGTCTGTATCCTCATCAAAGCTGTTTGGCTTTACACTTTCACTGCCATGTACAGTTCTGTTAACATTTTTTTTTTTGTTCGTTTTGCTTTTATGTGTTCTCGGGGCGATCCACTGGACCGCTTTTTAATGTCATCTGGAGGGACCAGACAATGTGATTCATTAGGTTTTATTACCCATGAGGACTCTGGCATCAGTTTGAAGTCTAGCATTTATTGCACTGGAGCTTTATCTCTAGTGTAAGTTCAGTTATGAGAGAGATGTGGGCTAGAAATGGAGTTCAATAAAGGCCTAATGATGTTTGCCAAGTCCACTCCTCCAGTGAATTTCACTCTATCTCTGTCACTTCCTATTGACTAAATGACCATTAGATTGTCAGAGTTAGCTCGGTTAGAGCCGGTGGAGATGATTGGGAATTACAGTGAGCCGTAATGTGACAATAGCAGCATCATTTTCGTGTGATGTTTGTCAGGAAGAAGCCTTTTGCATTGACCGCTGGCTAGCTCCCACTGCAATTAGTAGCTATATGCTCAAATGCCCAAGCAAACTTCGGTGGAGATTCACAAATAATTGGTTCGCTTTTTGTCATGAAAATGAGTAGTAGGCATTCATTACCATAAATTGCTGTAAACAAGACTTTGAAACCATATTGAAAGACTTGTTTAATGTCAGTGTGTTCGGTGCACCAAAAAAAGGAGTTCCTTTAAAGTGTTAAAGAGAGCTCTAAACAGATCGCGCACACAGGGCACATTGCTGCAGTTATAAGACGAGCACCATGGGTCTAATGTTTAGTGTGAACCAAAACCTTAAAATTCAGGCATTAAATATTCCTCATTAGTGGATTCATTTAGAATTCCCTGAGTTTCTCATAAATGTAATGACCTGCTCTTCACCTTTTAATGAGAATTTTACCTCTAATGAGAGTGCAAACTGCCACACTTCATCTTCACTTCCTTGTTACATTCAGAGTGCTATGTAGTCAGAGTAGCTCTGCAATTACTCTTATGGACGTAGATTAGAAAATCTAAATAGTTAATCAACAATAAAACCACTTTTATAAGCTTCTGGAGAGTAGCTCATTAGGACTAATTCATAAATATTTACTGTGAAATAGGATGTAATGCTCTGTATGTCTGTTAAATTCATGTATTAGTTCATTTGAAAACTGTAAACTGTATTGTTCTGAGTTCTGTTCTCAGGGATGTAAAATTTGTCCATTGATTGTGGTGTCCTGTCTGAAACTACATATTTTACAGATTTTCTATTAAGCTTGTTTCTATTCCCATGGTATTCTGCTTCCTACCGGGGACTAGACCTGCATCAGTAATGTTCTGCATGATGTCTGCTTGCTGCTATACATGAGCAATAATGTTGGTCTGACTGGACATTTTTTGCCAATATTGTCTCATTGTCATTTAAATGCTTCTGTTTTTTAATTTACTTATTTTTATGTTTGAAACATTTCTGTTGGGTTTTGTCAGCTTGTTGTCCTCTTTTGTACTGGGCTTGCATTATGTTATTCGCTGTAATCCTGCGTGCTGATATACTGAGGGAAAACATGTGCTGTTTGCTCTTTCAGCTTCAGTACCTCCCTCCGCCTTGGGGAGATTGCAAGTCTACTCCCATAGACTCTGAATACTTTTCCACATACAGCATCACCGCCTGCCGCATTGACTGTGAAACTCGCTACCTGCTGGAGAACTGCAACTGCAGGATGGTTCACATGCCTGGTATGATTGAAGAAAGACTTGGCCAATTAAAAAATGTGGCAAATACTTGTGTCCTCATGTAGTTATTTATATTATATGTATAATTATTTTCACTTCCAAACAGGGACCTCAACAGTTTGCACGCCTGAGCAGTACAAAGACTGTGCTGACCCAGCTTTAGGTGAGCCCACACACTTTCCTGCAAACATATGAAATATTAGTGTAATAGTTTTGCAGTAATATCTGAATTTTATAATAATACCTCTGTAGCTTTAACTTGGAATTACTTTAATCTCAGACAGTGCTGAAGCAAAATAATAAAGTAAAATTATTGTATAAAAATTCCATTAGGAAGATTTGTGATGTCTCTATGCCTCGCTGATATCAAATAAATTCCATAGAGCCTTTTTTCTCCCTCTGTATTATAGCTTCAGTCATTATTTGCTTTCATGGAAAGTGAACGATGGCAGCGAATGTAGTTTTTCTGTTGTGTGTGGAGATTATTTTTAGCAGAAACTGAGAGCCTCTGTATGCAGGTTTGTTTGATTGTTCGCAGTGATCACAATATTTTTGAATGACTTTGATCATCCACAGACTTTTTGGTAGAGAAAGACAACGATTACTGCGTCTGTCAGACCCCCTGCAACATGACTCGCTATGGCAAGGAGCTGTCCATGGTTAAGATCCCCAGTAAGGCATCTGCTAAATATCTGGCTAAGAAATTCAACAAAACTGAGCAATATATTGGGTAAGTATTATTTGGTAGCATCAGTTATTCAGATCTCCACCTCTTCTCTTCTTTCTGTTGATGGATGGATGTACTGTGGCATAGCATGACCTGGGTCTCCATCGTTCACCTTCAATGTAACAATAATGAAAGATAGTTACACAGGAAATGTGAGATATCATTTAGTGTCATATAATATCACCAGAAATAAACTCTATTGGATGTACTCCTGTCTGTCCTCTCTCCAGAGAAAATATATTGGTCTTGGACATCTTCTTTGAAGCTCTGAATTATGAGAAAATTGAGCAGAAGAAGGCCTATGAAATTGCGGGGCTTCTTGGTAAGATTCTCACAATTTCAGGTTCACTGTGACAGAAAAATGTGGTTGACCTCGGTATCAGCACTCTCAGCGGGCTCCTACCACATATTTCACATTGTGTGTTCACGCCTGGTGCTTTGAGGTTTCCTCTTTGAACTTGTGAAACAGGCTGAACACATTTTCATAATCTGATGCTCTTGCAAGGGCAGCCGGGTTGGGTCTGATGAGAAGTTGGGGCTGGATGGACACTTTTGACAATTGTGCTCTGATCACTCTGAGAGATACTGAATTAGAAGTGACAGCACAGGGAATGGTTTCACGCACCATTGTTCAATTACTGTACCTGCCCAAATCTGTTAAACTCTCTTTTTCTAGGTGACATTGGAGGTCAGATGGGACTGTTTATCGGAGCCAGTGTTTTAACAATATTGGAAATATTTGACTACCTATATGAGGTAAAGTGATGTTTTTCATCAATCAAACTGTAAACCTTTAAATAACAATTCAATTTATTCTTGCTATATAAAGGCATATAGTTAAGTGTAACACTTCTTTTAACAGTTTTTACACCATGTAAAATAAGTGTAAAGATAACCTTTGAATATATTTATACTGCTTGTTTTTAATCTTAAAGGAATAGTTAGGCATTTCAGGAAAAAAAGTTTAGTTAGATTCTTATGTCTGTATGGTGAATATGAAGCCTAAGCTAGTAGCATACTAGCTAGTAGCTAGTAGTGAGCATTGCTTAGGATAAAGAAATGGAAATGGGGAGATTTCGCCTGACTCTGTCCAGATGTAACAAAATGTGCCTAACAGCACTTTTAAAGGTCACTAATTATATCTCATTTCTTTCATGCATACAAAAATCTAAGTGTAAAAATGTCAAGTTGTGGCTTTACATGGGAGCAGTAAATACCTGGTTGCCTGAAAAAGTGCTCCTGACAAAAAATAATAATGCACATAACCTCCAGTAACACTTCACAATGAACAACATATATCTTGTTAATTAGTGAGTTTATGTGAGCTGTGTCCCCCTGTTCCGGGTCTTTCTGCTAAGCTAAGCTAACTGGCTGCAGGCTGTAGCTTCATGTTTACCGTACAGGCTTGAGAGTGGTATCAATGATCTCATCTGACTTCATTCTGATCATTAAATATATTTGTAGTGCTAATGTGTAGTCTTAATATCATTGAACATGATGTATTCCGTCTCTGAATAATGTGTATCTGATGTTTTTACGTTTAGGTGTTTAAGGATAAGGTTTTGGGTTACTTCATACGCAAGAAACGACCACAGCGTTGCCAGAGCGACAATCTGGTAATTTTAGTCCCTCAGAATGCCTTTGATTGAATGAAATGAATGTGATGTGTTAGATGAGCTCAAAGAAGGACAACAATAACAACAACCAAAAAAATGTCTGCTAACACTGGAAATGCTTTTAATAAACAGCACCAGAGAGAAAGCAAAGCCACGCCGCATTATGTCATCATTAGTTTCAATTTCCCAGGCAGAAAAGCCATATTGTGCTAGAAAACATAATCATTAATAATACATAAACAGTGTTTTTATTGCACAGTATGAATGCATAATCAGTGTAAGTAATATTACAAACATACAGTACTCATTTGCATGGTGAATATTATGGAGAAGCAAGATGAATTATTCCTTATGATGACAAAAATCTACAATAGTTTAACAGAAGGAATGCAGAGGAGTATTTACAAGGAGCAAATTGACTTTATAAGCCTCTTTTTCCAAGCTTTTGTGGTTTGTCAAGTGTTTTGATACTTGCGCTCCCTTAAATTACAGTGCATGGACAAGTAGATGTGAAATGTGTGACCCTGCTCTCGATCACTTTTTGTTATGACTCATAAACTGCTTGTACATTAAGAGGTTACATCTCTCACCTTAGAAGATGCCACACACCAACCCACTTTTCAGTATTTACCCAATATACAGTAGCTTCTCGATGTCAACCTCAATCATGTAATTATATCTCACTTAGAGCAAGAAAAGCTGTTATTGTGCTTGAGTTTTACTGCTTTGTCTGGCGGTATGATCAGAGGAAAACCAGAACAGATTAATGTGAGAGTAGAAGAATGACCAGAAAGCAGAACAAGATTAAGAGGTCTGGAGATTTTATTAACATTTCACAATCAGCTCATTTTTAACGCCTTCAAGCTAGTGAAACTTCAAACTGAAAACACCCAGTGGTTTAACACCTAGTGTCCGGAGGCACCTCCACTTCCCCTGCAGAATGTTATCTAAGCTTTATACAGAGCAGTTAACGAAATTATTTATAACTGAAATACACCTTTTTAATAGCAGTAATCAGTAAATGTGCAGCACACACTGCTGAATCAAACCTTGATTTCACTGGCTAGCTGTAGGACCGTTGGTTTCCTCACTCTGCTGAGAAAAATACAAGAGATTATTATTTTCTCTGTCAAATTTGAGCCTAAACGTTATGGCTTTTTACCTTTGGCTCTTGTCTGGATAGTGCGTTCAAATGGGGGGAAATAATTGGTAATGAACATACAGGAGCTAAAGCTAAATATATTATTATTCGTAGTAGTAGTGTCACTCAACTTAGTTTGTCTGTTGAAGGGAACCGAGCAACTCACAAAGACCAAATTATTAGGCATTAAGTTAATTAATTTACTGTCTTAGTCTCATTATCAGTGGTCACATTGTTTCTATGATAACAAAGATCATTTGCTGGAAATGTCATGGCAGATGTTTGATCACTTGTTCCTTCATATCTTGCCCAGAACAGCAAGATAAGTTATTTTTTGTTCTTGCGTAGCATCATGATTAACTGTAGAGGCTAGTAAAAATCTGTTATTAGGGTAATAGGGTATTTTTGCAATGATACACCACACTTCTGTGTCATAGGTGTAACATATGTCAAGTGAACACATCGTGTCTGGTAGTGGCATGTTTGCAAATATGATGCGTGAGTATGATGAGAAACTTTCTCTAGAGTTTCTTCTGTCTGGAATATGCTACCAATTTAAGACAGAACTAAATTCACTAAAATGACTGAGAATCTAAAACCAATTTGACACTATGTCTCAAATAATTCTGCTAAGTTAACTTTCCTTTCAGTGAACATAGAACTTCCTTTCAAATCGTATCGGTAGTAGCCACTTAATCCAGTTCTTTGTAACACATGTGGACCACTTGTCATGTCTCAAGTTCAAATAACAGCTAAAAGCCATTAATCCCTCTCTCTGCAGCTCACTGTAGAGATAGAAGCGCTAACAAAGGCTAAAACGTTTCCTTTTTTTCTGGTGCTGTTTTAATCAAAAGCATTTAAGCAGATTTTTGTTAGGCTCAGGCAGTTCCTTTTGTCCCTGAGTTTACTACTGGTTTGCATCCAGCCTTAATTGACAGAAACTTGGAAATGCTCTAATTCTTTGTGTAACACAAGCCCAAGACTTTTTCATCACCAGCAATTCGACATCATGCGAAAAAAAACACTGCCCCTTATTTTTCTACGAATCAGTGAAAAGGCCATGGGTTTGTCTCTGCATGTGGATTGTGTTCTTGCATGCTCAGTTGCCTCAGGTTCAGGATGTGGTTTGGTGGAAGAAAAGACTATGGAGGTCATTTTAGTTAGTCTGGTTTTTGGAGGATCAGTTTTTATTAACTAAAAATGGCAGTAGAAGAGGAAGCATTTATTTAGTGGGCTGATATTTACAGTAGCCTATGTCGTGCTTTTACTTGAGTTTAACATAGTGTGATATTTACTGTCCCATTCATGTCATATGTTCACCTGCTTAATAAACCATCCTTTTGTACTCCCTTTCTTTCATACCGTTTTTCTACTAGTCCATTGTCATGTCTCCACTCAAACAACCCGACAATAAAGTAATGCATTTAGTGATTTATTAGACTCTATTTTAATTTTGACTTTCATTCTCTTCAGTGATCGTCAAACGCTTCTGGATGACCATTATTGTCTTTTGTTTTTCCTGCTTATTTAAAAAACAACAACTCAGATCTTATTGTGAACAGCCATCTTCCTTCAGTACTTTGATGATATCACTGAGGGGAAAAAACGCTTTCATGCAGTATTCCCTCGCAAGTTGAACTATTAGCATTTGCATTGTGTTTTATTTTCATTTCAGTCACCCTCACCCATCTTTCTTTTCATCATGTCTATTCCAGGAGTTTCCAGAGAACCCAACCAGCCCTGGTGTCACGCCTAATCATGCCCCCAGGTAGCACACCCCATTGATAATAGATGCTCCCTCCCATGCTGTCCCTCTCTTTCATACATACTTGAGACCATCTCATACAGCATTTCCTTGGTAGCTACAATTGATTTGGCTGGCTTTAGTAGACAGGCAACAAAAAGAGGGGTGATTATCCAACTGCAGTGAGCATTTTAATATCTACTGTCATGTCAGGACAGGTTAGTTGGGTCTGTTTCACACAAGTTGGCTGGATTCTCCCAAGTGCATAAGGATCTGACTCTCTGCACTATGCAAAACTTGCTCCTTCCACTGAATAATGATGCTTTCTTTCCCATAGGATAAAGCGCACCTGTGAAAACAGATTACGTATTTATTGAATTGTTGTACAAAAAAGCTGAACCACATGAGATCCATTTGTTTCCCTGCAGCACAGAGGTCCATTTAGAGGCAATGCATTCTAGGCTTGTGCCAGATAACATCACTAGATGCATTACTTTGTGATGTTATCACAGGTCTGCATGCAGTGAGTTTGCACAAAATATAAATGGTTCTTTGTCTGCTGGAATAGCCGACTATGGACTACCAATGTTTGTTATCCACATATCAGCAGTTAAGGTACCTTTTGCACTTGCAGACAAATGTGGATGTTTCAACTTCCATAACTTTAACAATTTAACATGATAGTGTAAAAACAGGACTAAAAATTTGCTGTTTTCTTTCTCTTCTCCCTCCTTTCATTCATATTTTCCCCACCTTCCTCTGATTTTCTTTAAACTCTCTTTTCACTACCTGTGAAACATATGCGATCTGGCTGATCTTGGAACTTCCACTTCTGTTGTATTCATCGCCTCATCATTGTCCACATATGTTTCTGTCATTCACCGATTATATATCACATCCTTGTGTCTGATTTGTTACAAATCATCAACCTAATCTTTATTTTGTTTTTTTTTGCTCAATTTCTCTTCGCCACATATGTTTATTTAATTTCCTCCGTGTCTCTCCATCGTCCGAGTCGCTCTCATTTTACCTGTGGCTCATTTCTCTCCTACATCATCATCATCATCATCATCATCATCATCATCATCATCATCATCACTCCCTTCATCGCCCCTCCCTTAACCCGGTTGAACTCGTCTTCCCTCCTTCCCTTCCCTCTGTCTTGCAGAGCACCTGTGACACCCTCCGGAGTCACTCGGACAGTCTCGGATTCACGCCGAACATGTTACCTCGTCACCCGACTCTAGGCAACTTTGAGGAATTTGCTTGTTGACAACATAAAGTAGGGGTTGGGGTTTGGGGTGGCACATATGGGGACACCAAACTGTGAAATAATATATGTATTGAACAGAAAACGGTTGAGTGTATAACTCAACAACGTACAGAGTAGAGTTTATCAATGCCTGAATAGAAATAGAGTACTATCATCAGAAAAAAAAGAAACCACTTCCAAAAACAGAACTCAGGTTTAACTGCCATGTCAAGGCATCAGTGTTAATTTATTCATGTTTCATTTTGTGTTTTTCTTATGCCGTCACTTTAGAGTATACAATCAGTGAAGATAAATGTGTCCCCAAAAAAGTGTTTCTGACTTGTGTTGAGATGAATTACATAGTACTATCGTGCTAGTTTTGCTGTACATCGGCCAAAAAAATGAATACATGTGGATTGGTATGTGTAGCATTGCAGTTTCTTACCAGTGTTATGCCTCCAGCATCTAACCAATGCTGTATCGAGTGACCTTATACTTGTTACCGGTTTGAACAGGAGAGCCTTTTTAAGAAATCTGCTCGACTTAAATGAGCTGATTGTTGATTAAAAGAGCTGCTCGTACCTGAATCAAAACACTAGACAAGTGCTTAATGTTGCCTTTTGCTACTATCAGGCTTTGAATTGTCTCATTAATTAGATATAGATCTCAGTATCATGCTTATTCAATTTATAAAGAGTAAGGGTCAAAAAAAAAGGCTGTTACTTTTTATCTTTATATAGCATACATTTTAATTTTCATTGTTTTCCCGTTAGTGTTGCTGTGCTGTCACAAAAATGAAATGCTAGCATGCAGCTTGCTGTAAAAGTTGACCCTTATTTACATTGATTAGAAGAGAAACAATCAGGCTTTCCTTTTTTAATAATTCTCAGCCATGTTGTTTTTTTTCCATTACTGTGTCTTAAGGGTGTCCATCAGCACAATCCCCTGTGATAGTAATCTATTCTCTATGGAACATAAGTTTAAAAGACTTGATGGTGACATTCCTAAACTTGACAGAAATGTGTAAATACCCACAATCAAAATGCCATGAAGAAATTCTGTAGGCCTACCACTCATGTGAGACATTGGTCAAATATATCTATGTATCTATGTATCTATCTATCTATTTAGATATATCTATATAGATATATATAGATAAACGTGTTTCTTCATCTGTTTTTACACCAGAAGAAACTTTCTATCTGGGTGGACCGTAAGTGTCTTTGAGTTTCTGGTGAATATGACGTGACTGACAACTAAATAGACTTTATTAGATACAAAATAATTGCCTCAAAACATCAAAACCACCATGCACCTCAGCCCCATTCAGTTCAGATGATTTATAACGGAAATGCATTGTACAATTTTACCATTGTGTCCTTTTATTATTATTATTCCGGAAACATGTAATAAGTCACAAATAACAGTTTGTGATGTACAAATGATCAAGTATAATAAACTCTATATATTTACCCATCTTACTCACGTACACAAATTTTCTTCTTCTTATCTCCGTGTGAGTCTACTTCTCTCTATTGTTAACGTTCACTCCTTGACACTACAGTTATGGACTTGTAGGTACATATCCTCACTATAAATACTTGAGAATTCAGAGGACAGAGTTTCAGAGGTTCAGAGTTGTTGTTTTTTTTATGTGAAATTTTCAACTATAATGCCAATCAAGTAAATGGTGTTCATAACACTGTAGCTTTATTAATCTATTGTCTGTGTATTAGATGACTGTTGATGTGAAGCACAAACCCTCTTGGAGATCAGCCATCACTTGAAAGCCAATGACCAGACATCTATGGTGGCGACTACCTTTTATGGCTTTAGTTTTAACTACACACATTTCACCGCTCCGGCATTAACAGGAATAAGAGAGATCACCTCGCTAAGAGACTTTATCCGAATGGAAATGTTACCTTTCAGGAAATAAAAAAGGGTGAATCAGTGGCGTTGTGACATGAGCAATAAGTGCACTGAATCAAATACAACTTTTATCAAATTGACATAAAAAAATATATTTGATTTGGAATCCCCATTTTCAATTCATGACATATTCAACAGCTGGAATGGATGTAGGCCGAACAGCTGAAACACAGATGTATGTAATGACGACTGTATATTAACAATCATTAACCAAATAAAGGGACAAAAATGCCAATTCATGTTACACAATGATGCTATTCTAATGATGCTGCATTGCCATGATGACTTTGAGTGTGTGTGTGTGTGTGTGTGTGTGTGTGTGTGTGTGTGTGTGTCATGTTGCCAGGTTATAAAGCATCAACATGACCCAGAATTTAACACAAACTGTGGTTGAAGGATTTGTGAAAATGTTCTGGGTCTTTACCTCTCTCTCCCCACCCCCTGCCTTACTACCAGTCAAAGAACAGCAGAGTGTATGTGAACTGGCAGAAACTATTAACTGTTTGTGCTCATTAAGTAGTCCTCAATTGATATTTACCACATAGTTATGACCAAGTAGAAAACAGTATTCTATATAGTTCTGTCACCAAACACCTACATTTGAACTATTTTATTCTGACAGTTAATAATTTGTCACATCACTCATTTTCTTCCTTGCATGACCATTGCGTATTCCTATTATCTCTGGTCTCTTAATGTTATCTTAGCCATGCTACTCACTTTGTAAGGTCTAAAATGTACTTTTGGAGCCAGATGAATCAAAATGGTGTTCTCTACATCATGTGATACGACATCTTGAATCTTTATAACATACAAAAAAATCCTCCTCAAACCAGGCTTGGAATTATGCAATACTCAAAAAGAAAGATGTGGAAAAACTGCAATATCTTTCTGTCAATTTTTATGGATTGAATAAACATAATGTGGCTTGAAGTGAAACTAAAATGTGCCTTCAAGACTGGTTCTTACAGGTAACATCAAGATTTTCATGTGCACAAACATCTGGGGAACAGAACTTGCTTCATCTGGCTCTACGTGCTTTATGTGCATTTTATTGTAGATATGTGATTTTAACTCTGAACTGTATATTAAATAGTTAATACACTCTTAACTATGTGTAACGTAATCAGTCTTAAGTCAAACTGTCATGGGTGTTTCATGTCACTTTACTGACAAACCAAACTGCATGCCAGTTTAAAGGCCCTGAAAACATATGATCTTAATCACTGTGAGCGATGGGATCCGACCATCGATTGAATTAAAGAAGATGGGTGGGGCTCATTTGGAAACAGCTTGTATTACAGAATTGCACGCACCAATCAGAATTTTGGTGACCTGAGTTGTTTTTCACTGTTACACTTTGTTTCAAAACCAAGTTTTCAAGGGCTTTAAACAAACTTGACACCTAGTTTAATGAAACCACGCAGCCTAGCCTGGTGTACACTGAAGCTGACAAAATAAAGCCAGAAAGAAGGTGAGATCCATTCTACTGGATTCTTTTTTTCTTTTCCATTTAAAACATTGCTCTTACACAACATAACTAACAAAGATGTTGTCAAAATGCTTAAATAGACAAGAAGTGTAAATCATTTTCTAAAAGAAAAGCTTGCGACAAAATAAATCTCACCAGAAACTCTATTTAGTAGCTGTTGTGGAGCTCTCAATCATATCACACAATCTTTTTAAGCAAATTGTGTTTACCCAGTGGTGAGATTTTGTCAGCTACTAAGAAATCAAGCCAGCATGAACGAGACGAAGTCCTTAAATTGCACATAAACATATAGAAATTCAAACATCCAACCATGACAGCTGGGCCAAGTCCATCTGATGAGGAATACTGTGATCTAATCAAGTCTAGAACATCTACTAAATGGACCTTGTGTTAAGTTTGTTCACCAAGAATGAACTCCCAATGTCAAAAGCAAGCATGTATTTATATCTACTTTGCTAAATACTGAGTCATTTTGGCTGAAATATACACAAAAAGAATCACTAACATCTGTCCCAAATTCTACTGACAAAAGCAAAGATACTAAAAGTGCAAAATCCACTTTTCATTCAAAATTAAATTTGAAGCTGCATAAAGTAACTACAGAATTTTGTCTGGAATGTCCTGTAATCACAGGATAATGAAATACTGAGAGAAAATGTTTGTGTTTTTTCATTACAACCACACAAACACACACACAACCTGCTAAAAAGAGCCTGCTAAATGCAATAGATGACTTTCATTAAATCATTCAAAATGAGTTTCTGTACCAAATGAAGTTGTTCTACATTTAAATGTATACAAAAACATGCGCAGACATTCCATCATTAATAAATACATGCATCCATTATCTTGTCTTACATCAGCACAATGAAAATAAATCCTTTCCTGTTAACACAGCTAATTCAAACAACTCATTATGTAGGCCTTTATAGGATAAGTAGCACTGTAACAATCTGGAGTAAAATAACACTGCAAGCTGTTGACCATGTTAATATAACAAGTAACCAAAATGGAAACAGCTAATGGTGCAAAACAATCATATGAAAATACAGATTATCAGTGGATTATCTGGATTTTTGTCCTCTCTAATTTAACTATTATAAAAGCATTTCAGAAAAACTAGGACATAAATACAATAAAAATGAAAAAAGATAATGTGTCACTAATGGTCCACTAGTCATTAATACGTGTGTGTGTGTACGTGTGTGTGTGTGTGTGCGTATATAACTATATATAGTTATATAGCTGTCAGTGTTCAAAATATTTGATAATATTGATAACTAAACGATTAAAAAACTGTCTATTACAAAGTGCACAAAGAGACATATTCAAAAAGGGGAAATAAAAAGCCTGAGGAAAAAAAAATTATAAATTAACTTTCAATGCTATTATACAATCTTGTAATAGGTAGTGGGACAAAGTCGTACTGTTGGTTTATGAAAAATCAGTATTACAAGCCTGTAGTCTGTTCTGGTCAAAAAAACAACAACAACAAAAAACACAAAACAGTGTATTTTACAGATCTGTAATTGTTTCCAGGAAAGAAGTATGTTATATGGTACTAATTACAGTGAAAACAGAGAGAGCGTTCAATTGGTGCATATTTACTACCAATATTTACTCAGGTCAAATTGGGTCCTTTCAAAGAAAGAAATTAGTACCAGATGACATACAGTAATTCTATTCCTAGGAAATTATTCGGAAATAACAGACTTTTAAAAGTGTGAAAAAAAAAATAAAGAAAACATTGACTTATGCCTTAACAATTTTTAAATGAATCATTCACTTATAATTCTAAAACTGACAAATCATCAATTTACTTTTGCTTTCAGATGGTAACTTTGTAGCATTAGGAATCTGCGGTCTCCACTCGACCAATGTTTGGGTATATTAACTTATGTATCTGATGTATCTGTACCAGAATATATTGTGGCTGAGAAGAAACAACAATAAGAAATACCAAAGGTATGTTTTACGATAATTAATAATTAATTGAAAAAATTGTGTTGCCATTAAATAGTCTGTCCTCACATATCTCTATCACAATTATTTAATAATCAAATTTAAGTGATCCTCACTAGACATGCTTGTTTATGCTCCGTGTTTATGAAAAAATAACATAATTTTGGCCCATATAACATCATCACATTTTCTAAACTCTCAATATTGTAATAGCATCTAAACTCCTGTATCAGTTGGGCTAGGGTTTGCACCAAACTTAAGACTTTTATTAATGGAAGCAAACTGGCAAAACACTTTACAATAGGAACAGAAACCGTAATGTTTGGATAACTGATGCAGTGTGTGCTAGAACTTTGAATTTTTGGTATCCAAAATGTATTTACCAAATGAGATCAACACAGATTCACGATTCTTTCACAAACAATGGACTTCTTGTTGACAACCATTTCCACAGGTATAAAATGTATTCAATGCAAAACACAGTGCACCCTCCCAAGCTAGTGCTAATTAACTGGTAGGCTTATATGTACCAAATTAAACAGCAACTTAAAAGAACCTAAAACCTTACAGAGCCACTAGGATTTTGTTCCACAAAGAGGCACAGCAGAATTAAAGCAGGGGAGTGTTTGAAAACCGGTGAGGGATTTGCCTTGTTGGGGTTGGTCCTAATGACACAACAGAGGGAAGGATGATTGATTCTGGCTGCTGCGGGTCAGTGAGAGGCAATTTAGCTTTTAGGGTGGGCAGAAATCAGCAAAGTAAGGGTGCTGCAAGGCCTCTTCTGCAGAGATCCTCTGGACCGGATTACATTTCAACAGGTTCTGGTTGAAACCAAAGGAAACATTTTAATAAGTGAACAGCAATATCAAATTTCATGCAAGCAAAATTGTATATTAGCAACATCTGGTACAGGTCATTTAGGCTGAAGTTACTGATCTGTTTGACAGAATTTGTTCTGATAATTGAATACATGTATGGGCTCATATGTATCTAGAAAGCCAAATATTACTGAAGAGCCTCTTTTGAGGCGAAATTTGAAAGTGAAAGTACCTGGAGAAGATCCCGTCCTGTGCTACTTAGTTTGGGAACCACATTCACCAGTGAGGTGGTGGCTGGATACATGGGATATGGCTGCAGGTAGAAAGAGAAGCAGTAAAGAATAACACAATGTGTATATACTCCATCTACTGTGGGTCTTCCAAAATAAATGACATGCATAATTTACCTTGTAATCAGGAAGTTTTGTCATTGTCTGCCACTGTTCTTCAGTTGGTGTCCCCAATAACGTACCAATAGTTAAAGAAAACCTTTTTGCAACAGAGGGGTGTGTCCAACCTGTAAAGACTTACTGTTGGTAAATCAATGAGCACATGGTCGATTAATAATTCTGCCTGAAGAAACCTATGTGGTCTCAGAGTTGCACATACCAAACTGTGTACGTGGAAGAGCTGTGTGTCAATACCTACAAATAATGACAAAAAAAAAAAAGATATCTGAAGATTCGTTTCAACTGGTCATCCACATCGTTCCCGGGGAATAAAGGCCTTCCAGCATTAGCCAGCTCTGAATGACACATGGAATCAAAAAGAAAGATAGATACATTATATATCTATATAGATAGATAGATAGATACACACACACGAGAAACTTTATTATTTTTTATTAAAATTAGCATATCGTGCAAAAGTTCATTTATTTCAGTAATTCAACTTAAAAGGTGAAACTAATATATTATATAGACTCATTACATGCCAAGTGAGATATTTCAAGCCTTTATTTGATATAATTTTGATGATTATTGCGTACAGCTTATGAAAACCCCAAATTCAAAATCTTAAAATTAGAATATTGTGAAAAGGTTCAGTATTGTAGGCTCAAAGTGTCACACTCTAATCAGCTAATTAATCCGGTTCCTGAGCCTTTAATTGGTCTCTCAGTCTGGTCCAGTGGAATTCATAATCATGGGGAAGACTGCTGACCTGACAGTTGTGCAGAAAACCATCATTGACACCCTCCACAATGAGGGAAAGCCTCAAAAGGTAATGGCAAAAGAAGTTGGACGTTCTCAAAGTGCTGTATCAAGGCACATTAATAGAAAGTTAAATGGAAGGGAAAAGTGTGGAAGAAAAAGGTGCACGACCAGCAGGGATGACCGTAGCCTGGAGAGGATTGTCAGGTAAAGGCCATTCAAATGTGTGGGGAAGCTTCACAAGGAGTGGACTGAGGCTGAGTTACTGCATCAAGAGCCACCACACACAGACGGGTCCTGGACATGGGGTCAAATGTCGTATTCCTCTTATCAAGCCGCTCCTGAACAACAAACAACGTCAGAAGCGTCTTACCTGGGCTAAAGAAAAAAGAACTGGTCTGTTTCTCAGCGCTCCAAAGTCCTCTTTTCTGATGAGGGCAAATTTTGCATCTCATTTGGAAACCAAGGTCTCAGAGTCTGGAGGAAGAATGGAGAGCGAACAATGCAGAAGAGCTGAAGGCCGCTATTGAAGCATCCTGGTCTTCCTTAACACTTCAGCAGTGCCACAGGCTGATAGCATCCATGCCACGCCGCATTGAGGCAGTAATTCATGCAAAAGGGGCCCAAACCAAGTATTGAGTACATATGCATGATTATACTTTTCAGAGGGCTGACATTTCTGTATTTAAAATCCTTTTTTTTTTATTGATTTCATGTAATATTCAAATTTTCTGAGATTTTGAATTTGGGGTTTTCATAAGCTGTACGCAATAATCACTGAAACTATATCAAATAAAGTCTTGAAATATCTCACTTTGCATGTAATGAGTCTATATATTAGTTTCACCTTTTAAGTTGAATTACTGAAATAAATGAACTTTTGCACGATATGCTAATTTTTCGAGTTTCACCTGTATCTCTCTCTCTCACTCACACAGTTTATATGGACATGCAGAAACACAAAATAAACTATAAACAGCATAAATAAACAAAGCATAAATAAACAAAGCATTATGCATACAAATGCATACAAATATACTATAGTAGTGATTTAA